TGTGGACTTGTTTTTTCTAAATCCAAGCTGACAACCCGGTAAAACATTGTTATTTTTCAAATGATCAACCATGACCTCTTTATCATTTTTTCGACCACTCTGCAGGAAACTTAAGTTCTGTTAACAGCCCTATAATTACTTGGATTACTGCGGAGAGGCTTCTTCGTAAAGCTTCTCCACCTATCTGGTACCTCAGCTCGGAACAAGCATAAATTAAAAATGTATCTGAGAGGACCGATAATTGAGGGTAAGATCCTTTTGACGAAATGAAAAGAAACCCCATCTATGTTAGTTCCAACGTTATTATTATATGTGTAGTGCCAACGTAATACTAATACAATTTTATTATGTTATATGGAAGCACACTGTTTTCTTCAAGAATGCACATGAACAATGGGTACACGATCTAATCAAGCTCTGAATATAATGTAAAACTTCACTTAACACAATGTAAAACTAATCATTTCCGATACAATTCGTAACTACGACGAAATCCACAACGTTGATCTAAAACCGTCCTGACCAGATAAGCGTAAGCACACATAGTAACGCTAAGTGTCACATGATGCAATAAAAGAAGCTAGCCATACTTACCACAGTTGGCATAGCGGATAAAACACTGTACACAAATAATATTAGACTTAAATACAAATTCGCTGAGAGCAAATCGTTAGATTAATTATAAGGTGTGAAACTGTAGATTCCCCATTTATATACTGTAAAACATTTACAACATGCAATAGTATAATGAAAAGCTGCAATGACCAGATAAACAGACAAAGTAGGTTCAACGAATCACTGTCGGCAGCGACATCGAGAGAGCCTCTCCTGCGCAACTCTGAGCTTTTCCTTCAATTCAGTCACCTCCGTCAATGCATCCTCCAATTGTTTTTCCTTCATCATTTGCAACTGTTTTGCCTGGAATAACCAAATCATTTTCTTAAACGTGTCGGGCTAAGCAAATGAATATTTGAACTTGGCCACATGGTGCTGACGCGGTGTGTCTGTCAAGACAATCGCATTATGCCGCGCTGGCGGGCGTGGTGAGCGTTCGACGGAGGAGTTCTCCTGCCCAGTCGTTTGGACACGGGTGTCAAATAGAGGGGACTTTCGACATCGCCCGTCATACAATCTTGTCTTTACTTGAATTGTTGTGAGTTCCGCTACTTCGGTCGAAAACATGATCCACATACGGAACTGGCCGCGCACGGCCTCACGGTACGCCACGGGAAACGCGACAAATCAAGATAGTCCTGTCCGCCTCCCATGAAGCGCAGACAGATAAAAGACAGCTTCTGCCAAAATCAAAAGCTCTGAAAGGTGAGG